TCGGCTCGAAAAGGAGGATCCGGTCGAAGTACTTGTGGTCGACAACAAAGTGGTTCGCGAGACACAGATCTCTAAGATTAATCAAATCAAAGCAACTCGTGATTCAAATCGAGTCAATCAGTGTTTGGAAGAGTTGACAACAGCTTCAGAAAGTGATGGCAATGTTTTAGCCAAAGCTATTGAATGCGCCAAAAGTAGGGCAACTTTAGGAGAGATATCAATGGCAATGGAAAAGGCTTTTGGCAGATATGTAGCCGCAGACCGACTCGTGAGCGGCGCTTACTTTTCAGCTTACAGTCAATTAGACGAATTGAAAGCAATTCAGAGAAAAATCAAGGAATTCGAAGAGTTTGAAGGAAGACGGCCTCGCATTCTGGTGGCAAAGATGGGTCAGGACGGCCACGACAGGGGCGCCAAAGTGATCGCCACCGGCTTCGCTGACGTCGGCTTTGATGTCGATTTGGGGCCACTCTTTCAAACACCCGAAGAAGTGGCTCAACAGGCGATTGATGCGGACGTTCACTGCGTTGGGGTCAGCAGTCAGGCGGCCGGACACCGAACGCTCGTTCCTATGCTTTCAGAGGCGCTCACAAAGATGGGCCGACCGTAAGACTCGTCCTATAGTTGTTTCAGTAGTTTATTGAATAATTAATATCTTATTAAAAGGGAAATAAAAATAGTGGTCGGAGGGGTCATACCTCCACAGGACTACCAATTTCTCTACGACAAGGGCGCCGCTGCTATTTTTGGCCCCGGTTTGCAATTTATTATATTAATACTATTCATAAGCATTAAGTTAATGTTTTGTGTGATTATAGGAACTCGTATTCCTGTGGCAGCACTCCATGTCCTCGAAGTGATTCAAAAGGATTTAAATGAAAGACAGAGTCAGAAGAACTGATCAATGGTTGTGTTTGACATTTAAAACTATTGATTACTTACTGTCATTTTCTGATGGATTAACATAATGTCTGAAGTGATGACTGCAATGCAATATTCCCGATAAGAGCCGTTGATTCAAATGGTTTGCCAAATGTAGTCATTAATTAAATGTAGCGATAATTTTTCTACCCGTATATCTAGCATTACATGTACCGTCAGATTTGTATTACCGGTAATCCTTTTTAATTCTATTACGAGATTATATTTAGAGTTATTATTTAGGTTTTATTTTTTTATCAAAACATAATTATATGAAACTATATTTTTAAATGAATTTAATTATTGATATCTAAGGAAATTCCTCTCTATTTACTGTTATCTTAATATTTTCTGTAATCTCTGTTTTGTTGATAATTTTGTTACGTTTGTTGAAATAATGAATAAAAGGTTTATATTTTATATACAGTTTATTATTCAAAGAAACATAAAATTGTATTTAAATTAAAGCTTTTAAAATNAAATAATGAATAAAAGGTTTATATTTTATATACAGTTTATTATTCAAAGAAACATAAAATTGTATTTAAATTAAAGCTTTTAAAATAGTTAAATATATAATACAATATATTTTAATTTGATTTGAGTGTCAGTACTATTGCACTGCAAAACAGTTTATAAATAAATGATAAAATCTTTTTATTATTAAAAGATATAATATATTTAATAAGAGTAAAAAGAGTTGAAAATCTCATTAAAACAATCAGTTGTCGTATTATTACTATAATCACTATAAGAGTCATCAGTTGTCCATTATATCTGTGATGCAAATGAATGCAAAATGAGTCAAATGAATGGCACAGAATTGAGAGTACAGTACCTCTATTGGTGTTACGCTGCTGAGGGTTCCGTGAGACGGGTCGGACGACATTGTTATTCTGGATGTTGGCGTTCA